TCACCACTCCTACTCAACATAGTATTGGAAGTTCTGGCGGGGGCAATCAGGCAAGAGAAAGTAATAAAGTTTATTCAAATAGGAAGAGAGGAAGTCAAATTGTCTCTGTTTGCAGATGACATGATTTTATATTTAGAAAACACCATCATCTCATCCCCAAATCTCCTTAAGCTGATAAGCAACTTCAGCAAAATCTCAGGATACAAAATCAATGTGCAATCACAAGCATTCCTATACACCAATAATAGACAAACAGAGAGCCAAATCATGAGTGAACTCCCATTCACAATTGCTGCAAAGGGAATAAAATACCTAGGAATACAACTCACAAGGGATGTGAGGGACCTCTTCAAGGAGATCTACCAACCATTGCTCAAGGAAATAAGAGAGGACACAAGCAAATGGAAAAACATTTCATCCTCACGGATAAGAAGAATCAATATTGAAAAATGGCCATATTGCCCAATTTATAGATTTAGTGCTATCCCCATTAAGCTACCATTGACTTTCTTTACAAAATTAGAAAAAACAAACTACTTTAAACTTCATATGGAACCAAAAAACAGCCTATATAGCCAAGACAATCCTAAGCAAAAAGAACAAAGCTGGAGGCATCACGCTACCTGACTTCAAACTATACTATGAGCCTACAGTAACCAAAAGAGCATGGTACTGGTACCAAAACAGATATGTAGACCAATGGAACAGAACAGAGGCCTCAGAAATAACAGCGTACATCTACAATCATCTTATCTTTGACAAACCTGACAAATATAAGCAGTGGAGAAATGATTTCCTATTTAATAAATGATGTTGAGAAAACTGGCTAGCCATATGCAGAAAACAGACACTGGACCTCTTCCTTACACCTTATATAAAAATTAACTCAAGATGGATTAAAGACTTAAACATAAGACCTAAAACCATAAAAACCCTAGAAGAAAACCCAGGCAATACCATTCGGGACATAGGTGTGGGCAAAGACTTCATGACTAAATCACCAAAAGCAATGGCAACAAAAGCCAAAATTGACAAATGGGATCTAATTAAACTAAAGAGCTTCTGCAGAGCAAAAGCAACTGTCATCAGAGTGTACTGGCAACCTACAGAATGGGAGAAAATTTTTGCAATCTATCCATCTGACAGAAGGCTAATATCTAGAATCTACAAAGAACATAAACAAATTTACAAGAAAAAAACAACCCCATCAAAAAGTGGATGAAGGATATGAACAGGCACTTCTCAAAAGAAGACATTTATGCAGCCAATAAAGATATGAAAAAAAGCCCATCATCACTGGTCAGTTAGAGTGGTGATCATTAAAAAGTCAGGAAACAACAGATGCTGGAGAAACTCTTTTATACTACTGTTGGGAGTGTAAATTAGTTCAATCATTGTGGAAGATGATGTGGCAATTCCTCAAGGATCTAGAACCAGAAATAACATTTGACCCAGTACAAATCATTCTACGATAAAGACGCTTGCACCCATATGATTGTTGTGACACTATTCACAATAACAAAGACTTGGAACCAACCCAAATGCCTATCAATGATAGAATGTATAAAGAAAATGCGGCACATATACACCATGGAATACTATGCAGCCATAAAAAAGGATGTGTTCATGTCCTTTGCAGAGACAGGGATGAAGCTGGAAGCCATCATTCTCAGCAAACTAACACAGGAACAGAAAACCAAACACCGCATGTTCTCACTCATAAGTGAAAGTTGAGCAATGAGAACACATGGACACAGGGAAGGGAACATCACATACCAGGGTCTGTCAGGGTGTGGGGGGTTAGGGAAGGGATAGCATTAGGAGAAATACCTAATGTAGATGATGGGTTGATGGGTGCAGCAAATCAACATGGCACGTGTATATCTATGTAACAAACTTGCATGTTCTGCACATACATCCCAGAACTTAAAGTATAAAAAATAAATAAATAAACACTATGGAAAGGTAGGGGTAGAAAGTAACTTCATAGTGGAGAAACCTAACAATCATTACCCTAGTCAGGTGTTTAAGATCAATATCATCAGTCATAAATTATATTGGTAGTATGTATCCTTGTCATAATGTGACAAAAATGGCACTTTAACTCTGTTATCTTCTTTCCCAAACCCCATAACCCTGGTCTAATTATGAGTAAAAACATCAGATAAATTCTAATAAGGGGATACCCTGCAAAATACCTGACCAGTATTACTGAAAACTGTCAAGATCATCAAAAATAAGAAAAATCTGAGAAACTGTCACAGCCAAGGGGAACCTAAGGAGAGATGACAACTGGAGCAATTCGGTATTCTGGATGGGTTGCTAGAACAGAAAAATGCTAGGGAAAAACTAAGGATATTTGATTAACATATGGACTTCAGTTAGTAACAATGTATCAATTTTGGTATATTAATGATAAGTGCGCGATACTAATGTAACATGTTAACAGGGAAACGAGGTGTGAGGTGTATGAGAAGTCTCTGTACACTCTTCTCAATTTTTGTTTTTTGTAAATCTAAAACTATTTTAAATAATAGAGTCAATTTTTTTAAAGGAGATGTTTCTATTAGAAAGACAAGATTATGGGCTTATCAAGCAGATCTTTACAGCAAATTCTCTGCTGGTCTATGCGGGGAGGAGATCCACAAATGGTGTTTCATAAACCTCTGTTTTCCAATTTCAAGAAAGTTGGATTTTTCCAAAAGGAAAAAGTTTGTGCATGGTATATAGAAGTTGGTGCATGGATTCATCCCTACATTAAATCTGTATCACTCAGAACCAGACAGAATTTTTGAGTAAAAATTTAGGTATTTGATTCCTCTTGCAATTGTTGTACTTTATTTGCCTTTTGCTTATTTTTCTCTTTGTTTTTAATTACATACGCTACTATTTAGCTATGACTTGCTGTGGTATATTGTCGTAGTTTTATCTGTCCAACATGCTTCCCTTCTGAAAGAAACAATTTCCTCCTTCTGGGAGTTACACTTGTCCCCTTTCCACCACCCAAACCATTAGGTTCCATTAATATTTGCAATGCTATTACATTTTGTTATTCCTGACCCCAGACTGGTTTTGGGTCCACCAAATCTATGAAGGTCTCCCACAATTCCCAACTCAAATGGATTGGTCCAAAATGTGGCCCTTGTTTCATGCTGAAACAATCAGAGCTAGTCTCAAGCTGTTTAAGCCTGGAACATAAAGATAAGTAGTCACACTATTTTGATTGAAAAACTTTTAAGGTTTAAAAACCAGGACAGACCATTGTTCATGCATCATGCTATGCAGAGAAGATTGGCTCACACTGAGAGAAAATAAAGCTGTCTAAGAAGTGTAGCCACAATGAGAGATACCTGGTGGTGCTCAGCTCACCAGCTCTAGCTGTTTCTGAGAACCAATGCAAGCCTGCCCTTGTCGTCTCAGATTGTTCCACTTATTCTAGAATAAATAAACTGATGATCCAAATTTGTCAGAGTTGGTTTCTAATCCTAGCACCCAAGGAAAGTCGAAAATACTAAGTTTAGGCAATATCTCAGGCCGCCATTTTTTAAGAGAGGAACTTGCTGAATTTAGATCCCTGGCTCTCAGGGGCCTCAGCAGGCCGCCAACCTCAGCCTGCTTCCTGAACTGTGTGATGCAGAGCATATTCTGTATTTTATACTCAAAGTATAGCAGGATTGTATATTTCAAAGAATCAAATGGAAATAAATGAATCTCTGAAAAATATGTGTTCAAAAATGTGATAAGTATTAGAGGTTTAGTTTAAAGCTTCTTCAAAAATCATGTATCTATATCAATATGTATATATATTTGTGAATTCAAATTGTTTATGGTATGATTTACAAGATATATGATATCTCTACTGACTAAAAATCAAATGTATGTTAACACTCGCAAAGTGTTGTAAGAAAAAAAGGTTATATATCTCACTAGTGATTTTTAATGAAACTTAAAGCATAATGACATTTATTACTTCATTATTATATGACTACCCACAATGATGTATATTGCAGCTATGATCTGCCACAAACAAAAGCAGATAATTTTCTAGATTGTTTTTGATGAAGTATCTGTCCCTGCATTTGTGAATGTTTGCTGATAAGATCTCGCTTTCCTTCGTGACTGGAATGGCACTGGTGGCTGAAAAAAGGAAGGAAGCAAGTGTTCCCTTCTTTTATTTTCCTGTGTTGCATGATCATTACACTTTTCCTTCCCTTTAAATCCAAAGAAGTTGTCTTTAAAAAAATAGAGGTGATTCCTTCCTTCCTTCCTTCCTTCCTTCCTTCCTTCCTTCCTTCCTTCCTTCCTTCCTTCCTTCCTTCCCTCCTTCCTTCCTTCCTCTCTTTCTTTCCTTCCTTCTTTTCTTTCTTTCTTTCTTTTCTTTTCTTTCTTTCTTTCTTTCTTTCTTTCTTTCTTTCTTTCTTTCTTTCTGTCTGTCTGTCTGTCTGTCTCTCTTTCTTTCTTTTTTGCTTTTTTGGCTATAGATCTTTAAACAATGTTGAAACAGATAAAGTCTCACTCTCCTATTGAAATCTGTTTCCCTTAGAGTGTAAAGTGATGGCTTATCACTTAGAATCACTTTTCTGTGAAACTCTTTTGAATCAGATAACGCCCTAAACTGGGGAATAATGAACTGGGAAAAAGGACTAACTCAATGTCAGACACTTCTTTTGTCTGCTGTTTTGGCTGTCTGCTGTCTCATAGAAAATGTCAGCATTTACCCATGTCTCTCAATTACTGTCCTTTTTATTTATATTTTCAAAGTTGAAATATGACCTGTTTGCTTGAATATTAATAAATATATGCACTGAATGTGTTTGCCGATAATTCTGAATACTACATATATATTTTAAGTATGACTCATTGAGTATGCACAGAGAAATGTATGTGTATACACATAAAATATCATAGGCATATGAAGTACGAATACGATGTTCACTGGTCTGTAAATGAGTCCATATGAACACTTTATTTATTTGATATGTATGGCTTCTGCATTTCAGAGATGATTTACACAATGAAGAAAGTACATGCACTTTGGGTTTCCATATGCCTGATGCTTAATCTTGCCCCTGCTCCTCTTAATGCTGATTCTGAGGAAGATGAAGAATACACAATTATCACAGGTAAAATATTAGAAGCATTTATCTTTTTAAGCTAGTTAAAGCTCTCAATTTTAATCTAAAAAATCTACCATATTTTTCCATTGTAGAGGGAAATTAGTTTTTATTGAAGTGATATTTTTCTTTGGAAATTTATTATACCTAGTGCATGTGTGTGTGTGTGTGTGTGTGTTAAACAGTCCAAAACCAAGTAACTTTAGCTGAAAGACTTCTCTCTTTTTTTCAGCACACAATATTAAACACTGGAGTACCTCTGGGCTATTGCAAGGAGCAAAATGTTGTAAAAACAACTCCCTATGACATTTGATGCTACCCTTTGGCTAGGAAAAGTGTGAGGAGGAAAGGGAACTTCAGACATCTGAGTTTTCAGCTATTCTCTTTCTTCCCCATATTTCCAAAATAAAAACTTCCCAGTCAAGACTAATATAAAAATCTAGTCAATCAGGACACCAAAGGATCTAGTAATATGAGTTAGATCTAATCCCATAAAATTCTGTGTCTAAAAATGAGAACATTAAAAAAAAAATTAGAGCATGGAGAAGACTGTATGGTGATGGTTACTGTGGATATATACCTTTATTAAAGTAACATTTTGTGGCAAATTAGTAACTGTTGACAGAAATCTCAAGCATTGGTATTAATGAGAGAATATTAAACAAAATGATAGCTTATTTTTGTACAGCGGTTTAAGATGTAAAAAAGATTTCCATAAATGTATTCTTATTTGATACCTCTAATAGCTCTTTAAAATGACCGTGTTCAGTGTACTTTAATAAAGTGTGAATAAATACATCTTCTGGGCCTGAAACTGAGGAAGGTGCTAGAGAAACAGGTATGGCTGAGATGAGGTGCTCAAGAATCTCGCTGCTTCCTAGGGGAGTCTGATTGGTGGACAGTTTATTTCCGTATAATGTAGTAAACAAAGTGACAGAAGCATGGAGAGTGCTGCTGTTGATGGGAAAAGGAACGAGATTCATTCAAGCTTGGTTTTCTGAGGGCTCTGCAAAGGGAATTCATGTTATAAAAATTTCCTAGAGGCCGGGAGTGGTGGCTCACGCCTGTAACCCCAGTACTTTACGAGGCCGAGGTGGGCAGATCACGAGGTGAGGAGATCGAGACCATCCTGGAGAACACGGTGAAACCTTGTCTCTACTGAAAATACAAAAAAAATTAGCCAGGCGTGGTGGCGGGCACCTGTGGTCCCAGCTGCTGGGGAGGCTGAGGCAGGAGAATGGCGTGAACCCAGAGGAGGCGGAGCTTGCAGTGAGCTGAGATCCGGCCACTGCACTCCAGCCTGGGCGACAGAGCAAGACTCCGTCTCAAAAAAAAAAAAAAATTCCTAGAGATGAAACATTACTTAGTAAAAACCCTCATGTGCCTTTTTGAAAATAGGAATTTGGACATTATGAGTTTCAATTCCTCATTCAGCTTTTTCCTCAAAAGTTGGTGGGTTAAAATTCGAACATTCCGGAGGTTACAGAAACAAGGAAGGTGGAGGATAAAATAAGTCCTAACAGGAAAAAAACAGGCAACCTCACTTGTGGCAAGTGAGAAGCAAATCGATCCAAGTGTTCCCTGTATTGTCCCAGTCCAATTCTCCTCAATTGGACTGAGAAAATGAATGTTGGATAACCAGGAAGTTCCTGAAATTGTTGCGGCTGCTGCCATAGTCAATCAATAATCCAGAATTAAGTCATCAGTAATTAAGCCAGAATTTAAAATTACTAAAAGGTAGCTTCCAAACCTAGGTGGATAACAAATAATTTTGATATTTAAGCTAGACTTAAAGACCTCTTCACCAGCTAGTTGCAGTTTTATCTAGTTTTGTTTTGTTTTTGTTTAAAATAAATTTTTAAAATAACCCAAACTCACATCTAAAAAATTCTATTTTGGAGATACAATTTATCCCATGATGCTAAGGTCATAACATCATTTTATAGAAGTATATTATTTAATTGAAATAAGGTACTCATCATTAATAGAAAAATGCATCAAATTTTATTGCTTCTCTCACAAGTAAATAGTAGGTGATTTTTTATCAGTCCAATCAACAGGGAGGATAATCTATAATTAACTTCTAGATAAGACAAAAATGATAACAAAAATAGTGGTGATAAACTTTTTAAAACAATTCCATTGGGCTAGGAGAGAGAAAATTAAGAGTGAACATTTAGTGAAAAGCAAGTATCTTTTGTAGGATTTAGAATCAGACAGAACTGAGTTTGCAGGTGCAGTTTGCCACCTAGTACCTTTGTGAGACTGAATAAGTTATTTAAACTTTCTGACTCCCAGTGTCCTAAGCTGTAAATGAATAATTTAAATAACTGATTTATGTAAAAAGTAAAAAAGCGTCTGGCACATTTTCTGACACGGAGAAGGTAAAGTGTACATGTTTGTTCTTGCCTGCCAGAAAAAAAAAAAAAAGTCAAATTCTTTAATTAGAGGCAAGCAGCATGTAGATTCTTAGTTGGTAAGTTACCTGAAAGCCCTAGATTCGCAAACAAGTTCCAAGAGGATGAGTATTCTTACAGTCAAGGCTATGACATCTTTTCAGGCAGCAAATACTATAGTAAGCCCTCTATCCAACATCCCAGGACATGGGGCAGGGGGCGGGGAGGGGAAGGCAGGATTGTAACGTTTAGACTACGAGACATAAAATTCACGACATCGAATGCGAATGATTTCATGTAAACCATAATTCTATTTATACGGCTGGATCAGATTAAATTCCTTTTACATTGCCCTGTATGTGTTTTGCTTTCTCATGACTGCTGGAAGTTAATGATTACCTCTGTGAACATTTCCCTCAAGTCTCAATTTCAAGTCTCAGGAAAGTTATTGCTGACCCCTTCAGGCTAATTTAGGTATCCTACTATTCACCCGCACAACACCCAGGACTTTCTGAATATTTGCGTAAGTCCTTGGTGTCTGTGTGCTCCATGAACAAGGGGTTGCTGTCATCTAATTTACTGTCATATCTGTAGTGACAGTACAGTGCCTGACACATGGCCAATACACAATTATTCACATTCAAAAGGGTTTTTTCAAAATAAGAAATGAAAATCAAGGCAGATTTCCATCCCTTTTGGGTGGAGTGGCATGGCACTGTGGGTCACACAGCACACCTCGCCATTGCTTGAATCCAGGGATGCTGTGCTTAGGTGTCGGCTGCAAGATCACTACACAAAGAATATTCTAACACAGGATTTCTATAAGAAATACATTAAAGCGTGAATAAAGACAAATAATCACCTAGTAATTAACAAAATATAATTCATAGAAGTTAATATTTAGTGTTACTCCTAGAAAATTTCTATAAAATTATCACCTACTTCTATTATTGAAACCATTTTTAGTTTCATAAAGGTGAATGTTTGAAAATAAAGGTTGTTAGTTGAGTGGAAATTATATAATTAAAACTGTATGCTTGATCCAAATGCTAGTTTAGGAATCTCAGTCACATATCTGTGACAATATCGTGCAGTTATTAAGAATGTGTGAGATAACTGTTGTAAACCATATGAGGATCAACTTTAAACCCATCATTTATGGTATGAATTTAAGTCATTTACTTAATTTCTGCAATGCTATTTTATAATTTATAAAACGAAGATAATAATGCTTAACTCAGTAGGTGGTTATGATCATTCAAGGGTACAATTACAAAAATGTCAAGAGTATTGTAATTACTCAGTGAGCAACATTAGCTATTATTGCTAGGTACTGCTATGGCGTTTATCAGCTTTTGCCTTTGTGGTGCACTGCCACCACCTGCTGGCGAAATTACTAAATAGCAGATTGAATTTAGGGTGACTGTATTTTTAATGCAGAAAATGGAAAAAAGATTTAGCTTGATGATAAACCCTATCAAATATATAAATAATTTTATCAAAGTGAGTTAAGAAATATTGGTGAACATTGACAAGTTTAAATGTCATTTCTTTTTTTTTCAAATCCTTTATCTAACATTTTATGTTGGTGAATTTATCTAAAATATGATAATGTGCTTTAGAAGGTCTCTCAGGCATATAGAAAGATACTTATTGGATTTAGTCACACTGTTATTGGTTTAAAATTATTTTCATGGGGCGGAGCAAGATGGCCGAATAGGAACAGCTCCAGTCTCCAACTCCCAGCGCGAGCGACACAGAAGACCGGCGATTTCTGCATTTTCAACTGAGGTACTGGGTTCATCTCACTGGGGAGTGCCGGACGATCGGTGCTGCTCAGCTGCTGCAGCCCGACCAGCGAGAGCTGAAGCAGGGCGAGGCATTGCCTCACCTGGGAAGCGCAAGGGGGAAGGGAATCCCTTTTCCTAGCCAGGGGAACTGAGACACACAACACCTGGAAAATCGGGTAACTCCCACCCCAATACTGCGCTTTAAGCAAACAGGCACACCAGGAGATCATATCCCACACCTGGCCGGGAGGGTCCCACACCCACACCCACAGAGCCTCCCTCATTGCTAGCACAGCAGTCTGTGATCTACCGGCAAGGCAGCAGCGAGGCTGGGGGAGGGGCGCCCGCCATTGCTGAGGCTTAAGTAGGTAAACAAAGCTGCTGGGAAGCTCGAACTGGGTGGAGCTCATAGCAGCTCAAGGAAACCTGCCTGTCTCTGTAGACTCCACCTCTGGGGACAGGGCAATAACAAACACAGCCGAAACCTCTGCAGACGAAAATGACTCTGTCTGACAGCTTTGATGAGAGCAGTGGATCTCCCAACACGGAGGTTGAGATCTGAGAAGGGACAGACTCCCTGCTCAAGTGGGTCCCTGACCTCTGAGTAGCCTAACTGGGAGACATCCCCCACTAGGGGCAGTCTGACACCCCACACCTCACAGGGTGGAGTACACCCCTGAGAGGAAGCTTCCAAAGCAAGAATCAGACAGGTACACTCGCTGTTCAGAAATATTCTATCTTCTGCAGCCTCTGCTGCTGATACCCAGGCAAACAGGGTCTGGAGTGGACCTCAAGCAGTCTCCAACAGACCTACAGCTGAGGG